GGGGATTGATATTTATGCTCTAGACTTTGATGCTATTCTCACTGCCATGTATGTGATGTCTACTAGTGGAGAGGGTGCTGAGTACCTGAGTGTCCCGCCCGACCCGGGCATTAGGACTAGTGCGTCTGCCGCTCCAGGTACTCGCGTGTCCGCTACCCCAGGTGCTGGTGTGGCTGCTGCTCTAGGTGCGTGTACGTCTGCCCCCCCTAGTACTGTGTCGACTGCAGCACTGCACACCTTCACACTGGATTCAGGTGCCTCTCGCTGTTTCTTTCGTGACCGCACTGCCCTTGAGCCCCTTGCTCGGCCAGTTGCTGTCTCCCTCGCTGACCCCTCTGGGGGTCCGGTCCTTGCGACCTCCTCCACTGTCCTTCCCTGTCCTGCGGTCCCGTCGGGCACACTGTCAGGTCTCCACCTCCCCTCGTTCTCTACGAACTTGGTGGCAGGTTGTGCACTACAGGACGCGGGTGTTCACCAGTTCACCCCTGCCTACGAGCGTGTCACACACTGCACGTGTGCCCGTACAGGCCGCCACTTGGCTACCTTCACCCGGCAGCCGGGGTCGGATCTCTACACACTGACCACTGCCCCCCCTCAGGTCGCTGCGTCTGCGTCCGCGTCAGGTCAGCTGTCCGCCCCCTGCTCGTGTCGCTCTCTAGCACACGAGACTGTCCTCTGGCACCACCGACTGGGCCACCCGTCTGTGCAGCGCCTTCGTGCCATGCACTCCCGGTACCTTGTCTCTGGTCTTCCCAGAGTCCTCCCTCCCCTCCCACCCTCGCCTGCTCCTCCCTGTCTTCCCTGTGTCGAGGGGCGGCAGCGGGCCGCTCCTCACTCCTCCATGCTCCTTTGCAGACGCTCCACATGGACGTGTGGGGCCCAGCCCGCGTCCGTGGTCAGGGTCAGGAGAGGTACTTCCTGATCGTTGTTGACGACTACTCGCACTACACCACGGTCTTCCCTTTGCGAGCCAAGGGTGAGGTCCCTGATGTTTTGATCCCTTGGATCCGCAGAGCTCGTCTCCAGCTCAGCGAGCGTTTCCGCTCGGACTTTCCTGTCCTACGCTTGCACTCTGACAGAGGTGGTGAGTTCTCCTCCGACCTCTTGGCAGCCTACTGTGCTGAGCACGGCATTGAGCAGTCGTTCACGCTTCCGGCCTCTCCACAGCAGAATGGGGTTGCGGAGCGCCGCATTGGCCTGGTCATGGAGGTCGCTCGTACCTCCTTGATCCATGCGGCTGCCCCCCACTTTCTGTGGCCGTTTGCGGTCCGGTACGCTGCGCATCAGCTCAACCTCTGGCCCCGTGTCTCCTTGCCGGAGACCTCGCCCACACTGCTGTGGACGGGGGAGGTTGGCGATGCGTCACGTTTCCGGGTCTGGGGATCTCGAGCTTTTGTCCGCGATTCGTCTGCGGACAAGCTCTCCTCTTGTGCTGTTCCCTGCGTCTTCCTCGACTTTGTTCCGGACGCGCCTGGTTGGCAGTTTTACCACGCCACCTCGCGCCGGGTCTTGCCCTCTCAGGACGTCACTTTTGACGAGTTTGTCCCCTACTACCGCCTCTTTCCCTACCGCACTGCCCCGCTCCCACCCCCGCCTCTCTTCCTCGCGCCAGGTGCTGCTGTCGTAGACCCCCTCCCCCCTCAGGGTGCCGCTCCCTCAGGTGTGGCTCAGGTAGACCCGGTCGAGCCTGTTGAGGTTGCTGTCGACTCTCGTCCTGCTGGGGGTGCTGAGCCTGGGGGTGCGGAGACTGGGGGTGCTGAGCCTGGGGGTGCTGACTCTGGAGGTGCTGAGCCTGGGGGTGCGGACTCTGGGGGTGCTGAGCCTGGGGGTGCGGACACTGGGGGTACTGAGCCTGGGGGTGCTGAGCCTGGGGGTGCAGTGACTGGGGGTGCTGAGCCTTGCGGTGCTGGGCCTGAGGGTGCTACACCTGGACGCGACCTCTCCTCGGAGCAGTTGCGTGAGTGGTACTTACAGTACTGCAGCCTCCGGAGTGTTACCTCTGGGACCAGGCGCACTACAGGGACTGGGGCTGGTACTTCTCCTCCTAGTCGGGAGCTCCCCTCTCGTGAGCGGATCCGTGAGTGGTACGAGCGCCGTTGCACACTTCGGAGTGGTGCGCCTCGTCTCACGGACCCGGCTGCCCCTGGTGCTATGGACCCGGGCGTTGGAGCTACTGCTGGTGCTGCGGACCCTGGCGTTGGAGCTGCTGCTGGTGCTGCGGACCCGAGGGTTGGAGGTGCTGCTGGTGCTGAGGACCCGAGCGTTGGGGCTGCGGCTGGTGCTGCGGACCCTAGCGTTGGAGCTGCGATTGGTGCTGTGGATCCTGGTGTCGGAGTCCCTGCTGGTGCTGAGGACCCGGGCGTTGGAGCTGCGGCAGGTGCTGTGGACCCTGGTGTTGGAGCCACTGCTGGTACTGAGGACTCGAGCGTTGGTGCTGAGGCTAGTACTGAGGACCTGGGCGTTGGAGCTGCTACTGGTTCTGGTACTGCCGCTGGGGGTACAGGGGCTGTCCCTGCTGTGTCTGGGGTCGCCGCGCCCCCTCAGCCGTACTTCGTTCCGCTCCTTCAGCAGGTTCTTGGTCTCTCGCCTCCTCCTGGTCCTCCTCCCTTAGCGTGTTCACAGCTTGTCCCGTCACAGTTACAGTTGCAGCCGGCCTCCCCACTACCTGCTCCTTCTCCTTACACTGGTCCTACTGGCGGTCTTACTGAGCGTCGTGAGTCTGCGTCTCGTCCTGCGTCGCCTGTCCGTCCTGCTAGCACTAGTGCTCGTAGTTCGCGCCAGCGTCCTCCTCCTGCCCCTGGCACGCACCAGATGTCTCTACGTCCGTCTACTGCTCCTCTGCGTGCCCCTTTGCCTTCTCCTCCTGCGTCCTCTCTTCCTGCTCTCGCCGACCCTGAGTCGGACTCTCTTCATGCTGCCAGTCCTACTGTCACGCGTCTCCTTGCTACTGTTATCACTGACCCTTCTTTCGAGTCTACTGCTGCGTCTGCTCTCGTTACTGAGCTCGTCGACTTTGCTGCTCGCTGTCGCTTAGACTACGCTGCTAGTCTTGTCGCTGAGTCTCAGTCTGTCTGTCCTCCGTCCGTCGGGGGTGAGTGTGCCCTTGGCACGGACGTCCTTGAGGACAGGCAGGAGGAGTTCCAGTGTCTGGCAGCTGCTTCACCTCATCTCGTGTCCGTACTGCTTACCCCTGAGGGAGACCCGGATGCACTAGACATCCCGACTCCGCGCTCTTACGCGGAGGCGATAGAGGGTCCCTACTCCTCTCAGTGGCAGGCTGCTATGGATGCAGAGATGGCTTCCTGGAAGTCCACAGGCACCTACGTTGACGCTGTCCCCCCTCCTGGGGCGAACATCGTCAGTGGCATGTGGATCTTCAGGGTGAAGCGGCCGCCGGGTTCTCCGCCTGTCTTCAAGGCGCGTTACGTGGCTCGTGGCTTCAGTCAGCGACAGGGAGTTGACTACTTTCAGACCTTCTCCCCCACCCCGAAGATGACCACTCTTCGGGTACTGCTGCACGTTGCTGCTCACCGGGACTACGAGCTGCACTCTCTCGACTTCAGCACAGCTTTCCTGCAGGGCAGCCTGCACGAGGAGATCTGGTTGCGCCGCCCACCTGGCTTCACTGGGTCTTTCCCTCCTGGTACCCAGTGGAGTCTCCGGCGTCCAGTCTACGGTCTCCGCCAGGCGCCACGTGAGTGGTACGACACACTGAGGACTACGCTTGCGGCTCTTGGGCTCGCTCCGTCTACTACCGACCCGTCGCTGTTTCTGCGCACCGACACCTCTCTGCCGCCGTTCTACATCCTCGTGTACGTCGACGACTTGGTCTTTGCCACAGCTGACACTACAGGACTCGCCTACGTGAAGTCCGAGCTGCAGAAGAGACACACGTGCACAGACCTGGGTGAACTGCGCAGTTACCTTGGCTTGCAGATCACCCGGGACAGAGCACGCCGCACCATTACCCTGACTCAGTCACACATGGTGCAGCAGGTCCTTCAGCGCTTCGGCTTCACGTACTCCTCGCCTCAGGCCACTCCTCTGTCTACTCGCCACTCGCTCTCAGCTCTGCCTTCGGATGAGTCTGTAGAGTCGAGTGGCCCGTACCCAGAGCTTGTTGGCTGTCTCATGTACCTGATGACCTGCACACGACCTGACCTTGCATACCCTCTTAGCATTCTTGCACGCTATGTTGCTCCTGGGAGACACCGACCAGAGCACATGGCTGTAGCGAAGAGGGTGTTGCGCTACTTGTGCAGTACGTCGGGCATGGGGCTAGTGCTTGGAGGGCGGAGTCCAGTGGTCCTCACTGGACACGCAGACGCTTCTTGGGCTTACGACCAGGCTACGCAGCGGTCGTCACAGGGTTACACCTTCAGCCTTGGTTCCGGCTCTGTTTCGTGGCGGGCTACTCGCTCGTCTTCTGTTCTTGGCTCCAGTTGTGAGGCTGAGATCTACGCAGGGGCCATGGCTGCTCAGGAGCTTCGCTGGCTCACCTACCTGCTGACCGACCTTGGAGAGCCGCCTCGTTCTCCTCCAGTCCTGTACGTCGACAACAAGGCCATGTTGGCCTTGTGTCGGGAGCAGAGACTGGAGCACAGAACAAAGCACATTGCTCTCCGCTACTTCCTTGCTTGTGAGCTACAGCGGCGTGGTCACTTGCGACTTGCGTACGTGGCCTCTGAGGCCAACACTGCTGATGTCTTCACCAAGGCACTTCCGCCTTGTGATCATCAGCGCTGCTGTACCCAGCTGGGTCTTGTGTCTGTCTTGCCTCACTTGCTCTCCTCTTGACCCTCTTTGTACTGTTACATATATATATCACTGCTCTTGCTTGTTTAGTCTTATATATATATCTGTACTCCTGCATGTGAACTGGCCTTGTGGCCTTGCACTTGTGCTTGGATTGTGTGGTGACGTTGTGATCCACCCTGAACTTGCTTTGTTTTGCTTTACTTGACTGGTCTTGTGACCCCTAGTTCTCCCCCACTTCGCCTATGGGGGTGTGTCAAACATTATATATGTTGTTGTAGTTGTTTAGGCTACAGTGGGTTAGCCTATAGGGGGTACACATTCCTAGGTTTTGATACTTGTACTCATTTCACTCTTAGTTCATTCATTCTTGTTCAACAGGTGGTGCACCTTTCTTGCTTGTTCTCTCATATTTGTACCCTTGAACCTATAGTGAAACCACTCATTCTCCTTTTTCAACTTTCTCGAACTCAATTCACTCGATCTAACTAGCCATGGCTCCTAAGCCTTGCTAGAATTTTAACATGCTATCAGAGTGATAGGTCCTGGCCTGTGGACCCGCCCTACTGCTTCCGCTGCTACTCTGTGTTCGGCACGCCCCGTGGCGTGCCCCTAAACTTTCTCTAAGCGGCCCCGTTGCCGCCCTTTCAGGCCCCTCGCGGCCCCTTCGCGGCCCCGTCGCCGCCCTTCAGCGGCCCCGTCGCCGCCATTACAGCGGCCCCGTCGTCGCCCGCCCTTCGTCAAGCCCCGCTACGGCCCCGCTACGGCCCCGCTCCGGCCCCGCTTAGGCCCTGCTACGGCCCCGCTACGGCCCCGTCGCCCACCTGCGGCCCAGTCGCCCACCACGACCCCATCGCCACCTACGGCCCCGTCGCCCGCTGCGGCCCCGTCGCCACCTGCGGCCCCGCCACCTACGGCCCCGTCGCCTACCTGCGGCCCTACGGCCCCGTCGCCTACCTGCGGCCCTACGGCCCCGTCGCCTACCTGCGGCCCTACGGCCCCGTCGCCTACCTGCGGCCCTACGGCCCCGTCGCCTACCTGCGGCTCTACGGCCCCGTCGCCTACCTGCGGCCCTACGGCCCCGTCGCCTACCTGCGGCCCTACGGCCCCGTCGCCTACCTGCGGCCCCGGCCCCGTCCCCTTCCTGCGACCCCGGCCCCGTCGCCTACCTGCGGCCCTACGGCCCCGTCGCCTACCTGCGGCCCTCCGGCCCCGTCGCCTACCTGCGGCCCCGGCCCCGTCACCTTCCTGCGGCCCCGGCCCCGTCGCCTACCTGCGGCCTCGGCCCCGTCCCCTACCTGCGGCCCCGGCCCTGTTGCCTACCTGCGGCCCCGTCCCCTACACGCGGCCCCGTCGCCTCACTACGGCCCCGGCCCAGTCGCCCTCCTGCGGCCCCGGCCTCGTCACCTAACTGCGACCCCGGCCCCGTCGCCTCCTTGTGGCCCCAGCCCCGTTGTCACCTGCGGCCCCGCCACCTGCGGCCCCGTCGCCACCTGCGGCCCCGTCGCCCACTTCGGCCCCGATGCCACCTGCGGCCCCGCCCACTTGCGGCCCCGACCCCGCCCCGGCCATGCCCCGTCGCCAGCCGCGGCACACCGGGGGCACGTGCCCCCCCCCCCCCCCCCCTTTTCCCGTCACCTGGAAGGGGGGGGCAGGCGTCGCCCCCTCTGCCGCCTGCTTTGGCGCCCGGGGAGGACGTGCGTTGCCCCCCCCCCCCCCCCCCCCCTCTCCTCCTCCTTTTGTTCCCGCTGCTGCAGCTGCCGCTGGGGGGGAGGGTGTGAGGGTGTGGGGGAGCCCGGGGAGTGGCACTGGGGTGGCGGGTGTGAGACCACCCAGCAGCCGTCCCTCCACCTCTCCTCTCTTCCCCCCTCTACTGCTCCTGCAGCAGTGTGTGGGGGAGGGGGAGGGTGGGAGGGTGTGAGGGTGTGGGGGAACCAGGGGAGTGGTATTATTGAAACACTTTTCTCCTCCTGCACAATCGTGATGTACCCCTTCAGAGGGCACTAACTGCATACTCATCTCCTACAGCCAGTTATGGGGGCGTGTCGGAAAATATAATTTAATATTTTCTATATGTAACTGCCTGCAGGATTGGTTACTGTAGTTATAGCGTTTTCCTATTTGGTGGTGCACCTTTCTTGCTTGTTCTCTCATATTTGTACCCTTGAACCTATAGTGAAACCACTCATTCTCATTTTTCAACTTTCTCGAACTCAATTCACTCGATCTAACTAGCCATGGCTCCTAAGCCTTGCTAGAATTTTAACAGCAGCGCCGAGCTGGTCGGTGAAAGTAACGCCTGACCCCTCGTCTTCGTAGTCGGTTGAGTCGGTCCCTGCAGCGTGCTAGAAAGGCTGGCCCCGGTGGTACAAGAATGCATTCTCATTAAGTTCATATTCACTTGCTCTACGGAGCACGGGTAGCGAGCGAAACCGTCGACATGTGTTCTACCTGGCACCTGCGCATGAATAAGATTAAAATTGATGATTACGTATTAATGAGAATTGTAGGGAATGCCCCCTTTTTTGTGCCTCCTATTCCTTATCAAGTTTGCCCATTGCAGTTTATGTATTTATTTGTTTAGGTATACGCTTTTATTTCAGTGTCAGCTGTGCTCTGTATCGAACTGGTCTGTGGCGCGTTCTGCCGCGCTTTTCTCTGCACCACTTTCCGTCGGGACGAGACGGAATCCGTCGACGGAGGCGGGTTTACTCGACGGACAGGGGGGTTGGTGCAGGCGGGGTTGGTGCAGACCGGGGGGAGCACGTGGGGTCAACGCCAGCTCGAGCGAGGACCACCTCCGAGCTGGCGTGGCTCGTTTCGGGCGGGCGTGTAGGCTGGCTCCCGCCCCTCGCGTGCCCCGCCACGCGACAGAGGGAAAACGAAAATCCCTCCGAGGGAAACCCGCAGGGGCGAAAGGGGGTCCTCGGAGGGATTCGGGCGAGGTCTTCCCAACTAGGAGCTGGCGGGATAATCAGATCCACGAGGTGTTTGTTCAGAAACGACAGCGTACGCGCCTAGACATGCATCGCAACAAATGGCCTGATACCTCACATATTTCTGTTATTTCAATTGTTAACTATCAATTTCCACTCCAAAGTGAAAATTACTTTTCCCAGGAATCTCATGTTGTGTAATGTGCCAGGCGTTAAGCCTGCGTCTTGAACAGACCACCTCGAATGATTGACAAGACGGTGCTCTGTATGTATAGAACCAATTGGTCCATACAATAAAAAATCATACACGCCCAGCTGTAGAAGAGCAAAGAAGCATTTTCTTAATTGCAATGGATATGTTTTTATTCTCATATAGTGCAACCAGTACACATCCACCATTTTCAATCAACCTACATACAAATGAGCTGCAATATTCATTTACCGCTTGCCACCGGCCGTGGTATGCACATACACAGGCACCTGAGCCATGATGCGAACCGTCAGCGGCAACACCACAGGCTGCAACACCCCCCTTCCCCCCCCCTTCCCCCCCCCCCCCCCCTCCCCTCACCCCCCCCCCCCTCATTTACCATTTCCAAGTATGCACACAATTTTCGGTCAGCCAACGTACAGACGAACCCCAATAGCCATCATCTGCTTGCCACCGCCCGTGGTATGCACATACACAGGCACCTGAGACATGACACGGAGAGTAAGGGACAACACCACAGGCTGCAACACCCCGTCTCCTCCCCCACCCACCATCTTCAATCAGCCAACATACAAGTGAGCCCCAATGTCCATCAGCTGCTTGCCACCCCCTGTGGTATGCACAAACACAGGCACCTGAGCCATGATGCGAAGCGTCAGCGGCAAAACCACAGGTTGCAACACTCCCCCCCCCCCCCCCCCCCCTCATCAACCATTTCCAACTATGCAGTCCATTTTCGGTCAGCCAATGTACAAGCGAGCCCCAATGTCCATCAGCTGCTTGCCACCCCCTGTGGTATGCACAAACACAGGCACCTGAGCCATGACACGGAGAGTCAGCGGCAGCACCACAGGCTGCAGCACCACAGGCTGCAGCACACCCCCTTCTCCCTCGTCCCCCACTCCCGCTGCTGCCTCGGCCGCAGCTGCCAGCGCTCCATCAACCAGCAAGATACTGTCATCCTCGTTATAAGTACCACCTCCTCCACCGTCTGCGTCATCATCTCCTTCAAGCAAATCAGGCGAGATGCTACGGGCAAGGTCATCTGCAGCCAGGCCTGAAATTCCAGTAGAATTCTCCGAACCCCCACTTGCCACAGCACGGCCACTTCTCTCCTCGTTATCACTGCTACTACCGATTGTATCCCCGCCATTCTTCTGAACCAACGCTGCTGGCGAAATCAGATGGGCCAAATCATCTGCTGGTAGATCTGCCACCGCCGCTGCTGCTCTGCACTCTGCAGCAGTTCCAGCCGTGCCGTTCCGAGCCTGGTCTTTCTGAACCTTTCCGTTCCGAGCCTTCGAGTTAGCCTCGGAAGGAGGAGGCTTGGCGCTAATGATGACAGTGCTAGTGGCAGCGACCCATTGGCACGTGGTGTTGGGGATAGAGTTGAAGTGGATGGGTCGTTCCATCTGCACAGACAGGAGGGAGGAGGGGAGAAGAGAGGAGGGGAGAAGAGAGGAGGGGAGAAGAGAGCACGGCGGGGCAGAGAGCATGGCGGGGCAGAGAGGGAGGGAAGAAGCGAGGGAGGGAGCACGGCAATGAGCTTAAGCACCCAAGCTGGAGCACCATTGGCAGGTGGTGTTGGGAATTGGGATGACATGAATGGGTAACTCCATCTGTAGGGTGTGGAGGGAGGAGAAAAAAGGCAGGGCATGAAGGGAGGGAGGGAGCGTGGAAAAGAATAACAATTGAGATAAATAACCATTGGCAGGTAGAGATGACGCGAATGGGAGGCCTCATCTGCACAGTGGGGAGGGGGGAGAAGAACAGGCAGCAAGCTCACCCCAAAGCGTTCAATGTAGACGTTCATGTAGCGCGGCCCGATGTTCACCACCCAGGCATTGGAAAGGCACCCCTGGGTGCGGCGCAGCAGCAGGCACAGGAACAGCCTCTCGCTCGCCTCCTGCTTGCATCTACCCTTCCAGTAAACACCCGGCATCTACTCACCCCAAAGCGTTCGATGTAGACGTTCATGTAACGCGGCCCGATCGCCGTCACCCATGCGTTGGAAAGGCACCCCTGGGTGCGGCGCAGCAGCAGGCACAGGAACAGCCGCTCGCTCGCCTCCTGCGCGTATCGGGCGGCAAGCTTCCTCTCGTTGCACCGCGTCGCCACGTCAGCGACGGTGTCGGCGGGCGGCATCGCTCGTTCCTTGTGCACCAGCTGGCACTCGTGCCGCACTGCGGTTACCAGCTCGCGACGTAACAGGCTCTTCTTGTCTTCATTCGCCCCTCCTCCTCCTCTCCCTCCCTTTCCTCCTCCCCGTCCTCTCCCTCCCCGTCTCCCTCCTCTCCCTCCTCTCCCTCCTCTCCCTCCTCTCCCTCCTCTCCCTCCTCTCCCTCCTCTCCCTCCTCTCCCTCCTGTCCCTCCTCTCCCTCCTGTCCCACCTCGCCCTCCCTGCATACCCTCCTCCCCTGCAAACTCTCCCCTCCCTTCTCCCTTCCCCTCTCCTCCACTCCCTCCACTCCCTCCACTCCCTCCACTCCTTCCACACCCTGCCAGCAGCCCCAGCGGATCCCCCACAGCAGTGAGCACCCTACCTCCAGCCGCTATCCCAGTCAGCTTCCTAAGCAGCGTAACGTTGACATCACCACTCACCTCATGCCTATTCCCTCCTGCTCCTTCTGCTCCACCCCTCTCTCCTTTCTCACTTGTCGCGCCACCTGCTTCTCCTGCTTCTCCTGCTTCTCCTGCTCCCCTTCCTGCACCCAATCCCTTCTTCTCCCACTTCACACTGCTGCTCAGCCCCATCCTCGCTATAAGCCTCTCCTCTGCCGCCAGCGCGGCCGCCAGCTGGCGGTGCACGATGACGTCAGCGTAGCGGCGGATCGGGGAGGTGAAATGCGTGTATAGGTCGAGAGCGAGCCCGTAATGAGACGTCCACTCGCCTTCTCCACCAGATATACCTGCTTTCCCACCAGAACTACCTCCCACAGATATACCTCCCCCGAATCTACCTCCACCAGACCTACCCCCCCTGCCAGACCTGCCTCCCCCAGATCTACCTCCCCCAGATCTACCTCCCCGAAATCCACCACCCCTGAAAAACCCATCATTGTCGTCCCCACCACATGCACAATCCCCACCATTATCCCCATCATCACCATCACCATCATTCCCACCCCACTGTCCTCGGCAGAAGTACTGAGCCAGCTGCATGGGTTTAGTCGCCATCAGCAGCAGCAGCGCTTTCTCCCCTGGATCCTCCACCGCCCGCCCCACCTCGTTAAGTATTTCACTCAGCACTTTGGACGGTATCACTCCATCCATGCCACCCCCGGCTCCCTCCGTCTCCCCTTCTGTTTCCTCCTCCAAACCTCCTGGCCCTTTTCCCCCGCCTGTACCCGCTATAAGCTGCTTCAGTTCTGGGCACTCTCGCACCAATTTTTTGCAAAACTCTGCTGAGAGCACGCCCTGCTGGCAGGCGAAGCGCAGGAAATCGCCCATCTTCTTGGCGTTGGGAGGGGGGTGGCGCCTGCACGGGGCAACGGGGCAGGGGGCACAGGGGGGAAGGGGAAAGGGGAGAGTGCCAGCACATGAAACCTGCTAAGTGCACGCCCTGCTGGCAGGCAAAGTGCAGAAAATCGCCCATCTTCTTGGCGTCGGGAGGGGCGTGGCGCCTGCACGGGGG